CCCTGTCAACCAAGCTTCCATAAGCAGAAGCCTGCCGGGCACTTTCCTCCAACCCCCCCCCCACCTTTCCCCTTCCACACATGCCTCACAACAACTCTGTGTTGACTCCAGAGGACATGGTTGCCACAAGTGCCCTGGCAACTCACTGCCTGCTTTTGCATAAGTGGCAATAGATCTTTATAACACTATTATACTATCCAGATAGGGCAGGATGGGTAGCTGTGTTTGTCTATTGCAGTAGAAAAGAGCAAGACTCCAGTAGCGCCTTAGAGACTAACAGAGACTAACCCTGCCACAAATACCATCCAGGATTTTTAAGCCAGCAAAAAAGGACGGCAAAGACTCGGGGGGGGGGATACCGCGAAAATGGCACTCATAAGGGTCTGAGTGGGGCAAAAATGGCACTGATGTGGGCAGGACAGGTTCATTCCAGATGGCACAGGAATGCACCTGGATGCATATCTGGCAGTGGCATGAGGAGTGTTTCACAGAAAAACACATGAACAAAAATATCTCGTCATAGAGCCTTTTTGCTCTTTATTTCTCAAGTTCTTCTCCTTGAAGATGCTTACTTTTCCCCACCTTAGAGAACAATAGAGAGGATAGGGGCAACCTGTTTGAGGGCCCGTAGAATTGGACCCCCTGGTCCAATGTTCTTCAAACTTGGTTGGTATCTTGGGGAGAGGCTCCAGCAGATAACCTGTGGGTTTAGAGGCTCTTCCTCAAACCCCCTCCCCTCCAGCCCCCAGAACATACCCTATGTTTTTGCCATTGACTTCAGTGGCCCATAGGATATAATGGGGCTGAAATTGACATTCGGCTGGCAGAAAGACTCCTGAATCAGCCCCTACTGCCGAAATTGACATGCAGGAGTCTTTATGCCGGCCAAAATTGATTTCCTGAATCACTTTTTAAAAAGTAATTACCATCCTGGCCTTGAAGAGGGCTGACCAGAACACATTTTAAAAGTGTGGCTTATGAGCTTTCTGGATGGCTATTTTATTCTCCAATAGGATACATATTTTCAATTAATTTTAGGAGTCTCGGCTATTCATTTCTCTGAAATATCTTCTGTTCATGGAAAACGCCCGTTGCAAGGCTACGCAGGACAAAGAATCTTAAGACTGAAGGAAGGTGCCTTCTTTCCTCTAGACAGGCCCATTGTCATATCTTCATCTTTTCTGCTGTGCCACTCAACACAACTACAGGTTTGGTCAGGCCGGTTTGCCTGTACTGTGAGCAAAAACTGCTAGCAAAAACTGCTGGAATTCCAACTGACTTGAACACATTAACACATAAAAGGAATGAAAGAAGATGCACAATATTTTCGGCAGCTGTGGTCAGTCATCAGGATCCCCAATGAAAACTGGGATGCTCAAAATATTCACAGAAGCCAATGTGGGCTTCCAACACAGTTCGCTGTGTGAACATGCTGAAAACAGGGGAAAGATCAAAGGCTGGTGCAATCAGCTTTCTTTCACAGTCACCTTCTCCCTGCCTTTTACCAAAAGGTGTTACTGGGTTTTTTCCAAATAAGCAGCAGAAGTAAGAAGCGACCTAACTGCAAGGATGCCTCAACTGACTGAGGACGGAATCCACCACCAGTTCCTTCTACAAAACTGCCACTGAAACGAACAGGAGCAAAGCAATAGCGCTGGGATTTGCTCAGGAGGGTTAGGTTGTATCTTTGGCTTGTCTGCATCAATGCACCACCAGGCTTCCTCCTTCCATCAGCTTCACCCCCTTGAGGAGTTCGATATTTATTGCCAGCAGTTCAAACAGGCTGCTGCAGCGGCCTCTGCTCCCTTCCCCCTAGAAACTGATGAGCAGCAGTCCTTCGAGACAATATATTTAAAAGGGTAACACCATAGTTAGAAAGCATCTGGTGCAAGTAGTAAAGAGCCTGTCTTTTCAAGGAAAAAGAGAGAGCAAAACTCCTAACCAGCATTTTTCCCCTTACTTTTGGAGCCAATACTGCAGATTGGATCACCAATGCACCTTTTTTTAAAAAATACACCAGAAAAAGTGCAAACTTATCCACTTTTAAATCATCCTGATATTTTGTACTAAGCAGAAGCATGGTAAGCAGCAATGGAACAACATTAATGCATACTTGGGAACCCATCTCTGACTAGTTACTGATGGATATCCACTCCCTCCAGTACCAGAGGCAGTATACCTCTCTGTATCACTGGCTGGGAAGCACAGGCGAGAGGATGCTGTTGCTTCCTAGAGGCAGCTGGTCAGCCAGTGTGTGAACAGAGTGCTGATCTTGATGGGCCTTTGGTCTGTTCCAGCATCTCTCTTCTTATATTCTTATTTTACTCCTCAACATAAGTTTGTGGTGGTTGTTGTTGTTGTTCAGTAGCACAGTCGAGTCCGACTCTTTGCGACCCCATGGACCAGATCACGCCAGGCCTTCCGGTCTTCCGCCGTCCTCTGAAGTTGGCTCAACTCCATGTTCGTTGCATCTATGACACTGTCTAACCATCTCATTCTTTGCCGTCCCCTTCTTCTTTGACCTTCAATCTTTCCCAGCATCAGGGTCTTCTCCAGGGAGTGCTCCCTTCACATTAGGTGGCCAAAGTATTTGAGCTTCAGTTTCCTTATCTGGCCTTCCAGGGAACAGTCAGGGTTGATTTCTTTTAGGATTGACTGATTTGATCTCCTTGCAGTCCAAGGGACTCTCAAGAGTCTTCTCCAGCACCATAGTTCAAAAGAATCTCTTCTTTAGCGCTCGGCCTTCGGCCTTTTGTGGTGGTAAGTTTATGCAAACAGAGCAGGGAAAGGGTAGATCCTCCCCCCCCCTGCATTTTAACATAAGGAGTGTCAACTCCAATTTACATTGAGAATATGGGGAAATGGGGGGTACATTTGCATATAGTCCTGAAAGGGTTAGGGGAAGACAGAACTTAAGTCACAAAAACTAATTTAATAAGCTGCCTCTCATTGGAAAGCAAGATACATTATTCACTTGCACACGGGGCTTTTTTTCTACGGAAACGCACCGGAACAGAGTTCCGACAAAATAGTTCATGAGTTTTCAGTATACAGATTGAAAACCTTATTTTCCCTCTTGAGAGTTCTGGCACCTCTTCCCCCCCCCCCAAAAAAGCAAGCCCTGCTTGTACATCACACACTCAATACAACTTATTTGAAGATAAGTGAACACACATTCATTGCAACAAACAGAAAGACTCCATGGAATGCCCAATGAACCCACTTATTCACTCATACCCCACAAGGCACAATCCGTAGCACTGCACACCCTTGTAACAAATCAATGGAATGAGGACCCACTGTAAAAAACACAATAGTTTAGAAGTGTGTGCAGGGTCTTGTCTATGGTGGGGGAGCAAGATCATATCCTCGTTTCAAACTTCAAACACCTGAATAGGACTTACATGAGAAAAGTCCAACAGGCATAGACCTAAATTAGGCAGTCATTTTTTGTTTAAGTTGCCAACAGCTACACATATGTTAGAGCAATGGGCAGACATCTGGTGGGCCCAGAGATGTGACAAGGACACCAAGCAAGCATGTCAAGTAGTCACGGTCCAATCCACTGGCTTTACTGTAAAGTTCAAGCCTTGTATTCTAAACCTTAAATTTGCTTGCATTTAACCCAGACTAGCCTGTCCCTAAATAATGCCCCTGTGACTTGTGCAACTCCTTTCTATCCCATTAGGATGTGAATGCAGTGCTCTTCACAGTTAAATAAGGGTGTTCCTTCCTATTAATCACTCAAAGTAAACTGATGCAGAATCATATTCCATGCAATTGCTGACTGGATGCAAGCAACCCATCATCAGAGGGTGCATGTAATTAACATGGAGATGGATAATTACACCCAGATCTCCAGGGTGGTATTTATTAATGATATTGGTAAGTAGATAACGATGTAAACTTGGGATAATTGTCAACTGTAAACACATCTGAAATTAAGACCACCTATCTCTGCTCCATTGGCATACGGCAGCACATACACTTTGCATATAGAAAAGTCCCAGGCTGGGTTCTCAACATTCACAGTGGGAGAGAATCAGATAGCAGGCCAGGGGAGAAAGTAGAGAACTTCCAAAGACCTTTGAAGCCACTTCCAGTCGGAGCAGACAGGACGGGGAACAAATGATCTTGGCTTCGAATAAAGCAGCTTTATATGTTCACCCAGCAGCCTAATAGCCCTGACTAGCCCGATCTTGTCAGAGCCCGGTAGCTAAGCAGCAGCAGCCACAGTTTAAGTACTTGAATGGGAGACCACCAAGGAAGTCTGGTGTAGCTATACAGGGAAAGGCAATGGCAAACCACCTCTGCTCATCTCTTGCTTTGAAAACCCCACAGCCCTGGGGTTGCCGTGAGTTGGTTGCAACTTGACAGCATACAATTACTATTATTAGAAGTCCACCCACTTTCCTGGATCTAAAGCATTCTTTCAGTGTAACGAACTGAAGTCAGGCTAGCTATGGTCTGTGGCTAGGATTCCATGCAAGACAGGAAACAGAACTGAGGCCACCGGTTCTCTCCATGCCAGAAGATTTCTCTTTCTTAGCACAGATCCCCCCCCCCGCTCTATACCCTATTCAGCAAGAGATTCAAATTCAAGTGTTCAACCCCAACCCCATGATTTATTTTATTTTATTTTTTTGCTGAGATCCAAGTATAATTTCCTTTCTCCTTCCAGCTAACCCAACAACTCTTTTCCACACATATCACCACAGGAAGCCTGTGGGTGAGCTCTTCAGAGATTCGTGACTAGGAAGGACAGTCCTTAGAGAATTCCAGCTCTCCTTCCTATAGGAAATCTGGGAAGCTGTCCAGAAAGCCTTTGGGGAGGTTACATTACTCCCAAAGGCAAGCCGTTTTTTTAAAAAGACATACGGTAATTAAAAAGTAGAATAGGTCACAAACTGCAGACACTCCTTAGTCAGAATGTAAGCAACTCCAGGTTTACTTTGTTGAAAAATATTAAGAAAGAAAAAGAAAAATGTGTAGTGACTTACACTTTGCTTCAGATATATTCTGATTTGGCGACCAGACCAGCATACCAAGATTCTCTCTCTCCTGAGACCGCTTTGCGAGTTTAGCTGGGAGGGAAAAAACCACAGATGTACAGATTAAAATATAAATAGTATTAAGTCATCCTCCTGTTTAGGATTGAGGAAGGAAACTGGGATGGTGAGCTATTTTCCACAGTCTTGGAGACCCTTAGAGAGCTGCTCCCAATTAGAAAAGACAATATTAAACTCAAACGTTGTGACTTGTAAGGATGCTTCATATGTAACAGGGGCTAGGAGAGACCCCCCTCCGACATTGGCGCTGTGCAACACCAGATTTATAAATAATAAGATCACAGTCCTTTGGGACTTCCTGTGGGAACAGAAGGTAGACCTGGCATGTGTGACAGAAACCTGGGTGAGGGATGGGGAGACAGTAGCTCTCTCCCAGCTTGCCCCTCCTGGGTTCTCGGTCCTACACCAATCACGGACTAGGGGGCGGGGGGAGTGGCTATGTTAATCCGGGAGGCTTACTCCCTCAGGGCACTCCCACCACTGGAGATCCCGGCACTGAGTGTGTTCGTCTGGTGTGGGAGGCTGAGGAGAGTTTGGCAATTTGGCTGGTGTACCGGCCGCTGAACGCACCGGCCAATAGCCTGCCATCCCTGATGGAAGCCGTATCAGGCTGGACGCTGGAACACCCTAGGCTATTAGTCTTGGGTGATTTCAACGTCCATGCCGATGACGTGGCTTCCAGTCAGGCAACAGACCTAGTGTCATCCATGGTGGCACTGGGACTCTCCCAATTTGTAACGACCCCCACACGCCGGGCAGGGCACACGCTCGATCTGATCTTCGCGGCTGGGGTGACGGTGGACCGGATTTCTGCTTTGTCAGTACCATGGTCGGACCACCATGCCCTGAGGGCCCGTCTGAATGTTCCACCCTGACCCTGTTTAGGCGGCGAGTATATTTTTGCTCACCTGCGGAGCCAGATGGGCCCTACAGGATCTGATGCCCCCTGGCGAATCATTAGATAAGCTTGTAGAGGACAGGCATAGCCGGCTCTCTGCAGCCATCGAGGAGACTGCTCCCCGGTGCCCTCTGTGCCCTCGCTCTAGGCTTGCTCCCTGGTTTACCCAGGAATTGCGACTTATGAAGCAAGAGCTGAGACGGCTAGAGAGACAATGGTGCCGTGTTTGAGACGAAGCTACAAGAACATCTTATAGGACATTTATGAGATCCTATGAGATGGTAGTCAAAGCTGCAAAGAGAGAGTTCTATGCGGCTACGATTGCATCTGCGAACTCACGCCCAGCCCAATTATTTAGAATGATTCGGTCTTTAACGGCTCTGTCACAGGGCAGGCCAAACACTAGGGAATTGGATATTGGCTGCGAGGCATTTGCGAGCTATTTCGCAGACAAAGTCTTGGTGCTCTGCTGCAACCCCCCCGCCACAGTTGAAACAGTGAGTGAACTCAAGGCCCCTTGCACATCCTTGACTTCGGGTTTGGATTGCTTCAGCCTGCTCAGCCTGGAGGAAGTTAACACATTACTCTTGACTGTATGCCCAACCACATGCAGCCTTGATCCATGCCTTTCCTGGCTTATTAAAGTGGGCCATGAGGGGTTTCGAGGTGCCCTAAGGGAGACTGTCAACAAGTCCCTCTCTGAGGGGCGGTTCCTAGAGGTACTCAAGGAAGCGATGGTCCACCCTCTCTTGAAAAAATCAACTTTGGACCCGGTCGAATTGGCTAACTATTGGCCGGTTTCCAATTTGCCCTATTTGGGCAAATTGATCGAGAGGGCAGTGGTGATACAGTTACAGGGCTTTCTGGATGACGCTTCAGTCCTAGACTCCTTCCAGTCCGGCTTCTGCTCGGGATATGGGACAGAGACTGTGCTGGTAGCCCTTACTGATGACCTCCGGAGACATCTGGATCGGGGCGGGTCAGCAATACTGTTGTTGCTCGATGTTGGCTGCATTCGACACAGTTGACCATCAGTTGCTGACCCACCGCCTCGCCGATGTGGGGATACAGGGCTTGCCTTGCAGTGGCTCGTTTCTTTTCTCCAAGATCGGGGACAGAGGGTGGTGCTAGGGGAACAGCAGTCCAGGAGACACCCGCTGGAGTGCGGTGTGCCTCAGGGGGCAGTGCTTTCCCTGATGTTGTTTAATATCTATATGCGCCCCCTCGCCCAGATTGCCCGGAGGTATGGGCTGGGGTATCACCAGTATGCTGATGACACCCAGCTCTATCTGATGTTGGGTGACCAGTGGGACTCTAGTCCAGAAGATCTGGACCAGGCATTGCACGTCGTGGCTGGTTGGCTCAGACTGAGCAGGCTGAAACTAAACCCAACGAAGACGGAGGTCCTGTGCCTGAGTCAGGGCGGTTTGGGCTCCCGCTCCTGACCTTCGATGGGGAACCATTGGTGCCAGCGCTGGAGGTTAGGAGTCTGGGAGTGCTCCTGGATCCCTCCTTAACCATGGAGGCCCAGGTGGCAGCCACTGCTAAATCAGCCTTTTACCATCTTCGGCTGGTTCGGCAGCTGGTTCCCTTCCTCGACTGCGACACCTTGGCCACAGTGATCCATGCAACGGTCACCTCGAGACTAGACTACTGTAACGCAGTTTAGTGTAGTGGTTAAGTGAGCCAGTTTGGTGTAGTGGTTAAGTGTGCCGACTCTAATCTGGGAGAACCGGGTTTGATTCCCCACTCCTCCACTTGCACCTGCTGATGTGACCTTGGGTCAGTCACAAGCTCTGGCACAGCTGTCCTTGAAAAAGAGCAGTTTGTGTCAGAGTTCTCTCAGCCCCACCCACCTCACAGGGTGTCTGTTGTGGGGAGGGGAAGGGAAAGGAGTTTGTAAGCCGCTCTGAGACACCTTTGGGTAGTCAAGGGCGGGGTATAAATCCAATCTCTTCTTCTTCTTCTTCTCTACATGGGGCTGCCCTTGTCGCAAGTTCGGAGGCTTCAGGTAGTGCAGAATGCTGCAGCGAGGCTTTTGATGGGTCTCTCTAGATGGGAGCACATTGGGCCAGTGCTGCAGGTGCTGCACTGGCTGCCAATAGCATACCAAATTTGCTTCAAGGTGCTGGTACTTACCTTTAAAGCCCTATATGGCCAGGTTCCAACATACCTGAGGGACTGCCTTTCCCCATACAGACCCCAGAGAGGACTTCGGTCGGGGTCAAAAAACTGTCTAACTATCCCAGGCCCCAGAGATGCCAGGCTCGCTGCTACCAGGGCCAGGGTGTTTTCGGTGGCGGCTCCTACCTGATGGAATGAGCTCCTGGAGGAGATCAGGGCCCTGTGGGACTTAGTACAGTTCCGTAGGGCCTGCAAGACGGAGCTCTTCCGCCAGGCCTTCAATTAGGAGCCGCCCACCGCCCATTACAAATACCAACACCGCCCACCACTGATGTCATCATCTGCATGGTGGTAGGTTGGCCAATCAGTAGACCGAGATACAGCATTGCAGGAGGCCAAAATATCGTTAAATCAGGGCCCTAGTATTACTTTCTGTCTGCACGCCATCTCTAACTGAATGAAGAAAGAAGATCACTATGAGCACTTTCTGGTATCAATTGTATTAAGTGAACTGTATTTATCTTGTTTTTAACTGTTTTATCTTGGCACGTGGTGCCGCTGACTGTTAGCCACCCTGAGCCCGCTAGCGGGGAGGGCGGGATACAAATCTAATAAATAAAATAACACATCTTAGAGCTAGGGCTACATGTCCATGGCAAGATTTCTTTGTTTCCCTACCATTTGCACTGGCAGTGCAGTGCCCACATGGAATGTCTGCAAACCCATCAGCCTCTGTTTTCCCTGTGTCTCCCCCCACACTTCACCACTAGAGGGCTTTTAAAGAAAAAAAGTCACCAATTTCTAATGCATTATTGTGCAATCAGTAATGTATTACAGCAAAAGCCAGTAAAACAATACAATTCTGCTATAAAGGAGGTTAAAACCATAATAACATAGTAATGATATAAAACACTGGCAAGAATGAATTAATAAAACTGGTAAAATAGCAGTAAAAATACATTTTGAAAAAATCATAGTTTTTTCAACTAAAATAAGTTTACGTTTCCAAATAGCTCAGAAACAAAATTTCGCCACCGCATAAATCACTGAACTCTGAGTATCTTCTAAAAGAAATTTGCACAGGACTTCTGGCCTGAAATCAAGATAGGACTGCAGAGGGTTAAGTTATTGTGCAATAACGTTATAACAATCTACTGCTGCAGAATGCCGTTTTAATTTTTTTTAAACCCCAAATCTCTAGCTCTTTTAAAGGACTGCTGAAAATTCAGAGGAACTAGCGGACTGTGCTAACGGACTATAACGTTAAAAGAAGAACGTGCCATCAAGTTGCAACTGACTCATAGCGACCCTGATCCTGGGACATTCCAGGCAAGAGAGGAGGAAAGGTGGTTTTGCCATTGCCGCCTCTTGCATAGCACCCCTGTCTTCTTTGGTGGTCTCCCATCCAAGTACTAACCATGGCCAACCCTGCTTAGCTCCCAAGCTCCAACAAGCTCAGGTTAAGGTGAGCTCTCCAGGCTGCTATAATGTTGGGACAACAGCAATTACCAGCTGTTTTTGTTTTTTTAAAAGTCCTCTGGCACTGCAGCAGGGAAAGCGGCAGCCGAGCATGGCTGTTGGAAGGAAAATGATGCCAATGTGGGCAGGATCTTCAAAAATGCACATTTATCCCGTCTGAGTGTCCTGCTAATGCACTTTCCATAAAGATCATACCCCTTCCTCGCCCTGAATAACACACACTGTTCATTTAGAACAGTATATACGATTTGACCAGCGTCTTAACCACTTGAGCCACAGCAGCTCTTAGTAAGGTAAAGGTTAATGTTGGTGTTCACAATCAGCCAAATAACAGCAGTGTCCAGTTCCTGTAGACCAAGGAAACATAGCTAAGATTTTAATTTAATTGAGAAAGAGCATACAGAAGTCAGGAGAAGCCTGGATGAGACGACAATGTCATGCAGAAGATGCTCCAAAAATAACCTGCTTCACCTTGGAAGGCAAGATGGAGAAAAGTGTCTGTGTGGATACAGTC